GCAAAGGTTGGAATGCAGACATCACATCTGGCCAAAGGAAATCTTTCTCCTTTGTCTTTATTAGGAAGGAGCACCCCAGAATCTCACCAGCAGACATCCCTGGGGTCTCACTAGCTGGTCACTGCACATGCTTAATTGCTGTGGGAGGCAGCCCACTGACAACACAGCATACTGGGTTGGGGCTCAGTGGCAAGCCCAGCCTCTGATCCACCACAGCCCCAAACTCTCCATGGCAGTCTCTGAACCCTCTTTTTACCTTTACCTAAATATGCCCAAACATTTATGTTGTTAAAAAAAATTATCTTCATTATTGAGAACGAACCAACAAAATATTCTTTAAAAATAGAAAAAGGCTTCAAAAGGCAATTCCTGTTAACATTTTGGTATGTTTTCATCTTGCCTGTTTCTGTACAGGTTCTGCATATGTAGCAAGACAAGTGACATTTAAAATGTCCCAGCAGCTTCTGCAACCTTTTAAGAGAATGGCAACATTTATCTTTAGATAAGTATCTTTTTATCTGGGAAATGCCTTGAATGGACTTCTTTCAGAGAGAATATAAGTACCATTCACCTCTACCCTGCCTTCCACTGGTATGAAAGGCAACAGTGAAACAGAGGGTTCAATTGAGACATTTTGGAAATTCCTTATGGGTAACACAGAACAGAGGTAGGATGCACGAGTAGAAAGAAGTGTCAGATGGGAGGAGAGAAGGCTTGGCTCAGGCACAAAACAATTCCTTGATAAGAAATATTTTCATCATCTGTTTATCAAACTACCCCCAAAATTGATAGCATAAAACAAAATTTATGATTTCTTAATATTTTGGGAAGCCCTCAATTAGGGACTCATGCAAACTTGTGGTCTGAAGACTCCAGGATGAGGTCTTCACTTCATGTCTGGTGCATCAGCTGCCTCAGCAGGAGCACTGGGGAGATGGCTGGGCATCTCCTCGCACATGGCYTCTCCATGTGGTTGACCTAGGCTTCCTTGCAGCACAGCGTCTCAGGGAAGTTAGACTTCTTTTGGAAACATGCAGTCCAAAAGGAGGAGCCACAAGCTGCAAGCTTCTTTTGACCTGTTCTTGGGAGTTACACAGCATCTTTTGACTGAAGGTTTCAGTTGATTACAAGGGGATTGCTCTGAGTGAGCATGGGTGGGATCTATACAAAGAAGCACATCAGTGGGTTCACTGGAGGTTTTACCTTTCAAGACCATTACCCCAAGAAATAACTGTCAAGTTCCTAGGAGCAGCAATGTCAGATTTTGAATTTGAAGATCTTGAATTTCCCAGGTAGTAATTATCTTTATGACTTTCAAACTATGTAAAATGCTAAAATTCACAGCAATCTTTATTAGTGAGGCTTTGGGAGGGAAATAAAAGTAGGTGAAGTGAAGCTGAAGTTCTCTGAAAAAAAACAAAAACAAAATTCATTTATATTAAAGATTCTGCAGACTGGTTGACCTTGGCTGAGTAGAATATCCTAACAGTGAAGAGATGGAATGTTTTAGGTCGAGAGCCAAAATTATCTTTGGCTATCCTAATCCCTTTAAGTCATTTGCTTTCAACCTCTGTATCTGACCTAACATCCTCCTATTTAGGTAAAACTCTGAGAATGTTTCACTAAGCTTAACAGACCTGTAGCCTCCACCAACCCTAAAGCTAAAAATGCTGTAACATCTCAAATCTATAGAAAAGATTTCTCCTCTTTGCTRTAGTCTACCTACCTAAGACCCCCACCAAGTGTTTTGTAATGGTACTTTTGTTCTGTGGCTATAAAAGTTCACCTTTTTCATGGCCAAACACATCATTCAGGGTAAGTTGAATCCATGTTCCTGGGCAATGGTCACTCGAGTATATCTGTCTCAGAATGAATTATTTATTTCCTCTGGAATTATTTGATATTGACAATGCYATCAYCTAAGAGAAGTATGAGAAGAGGTGACGTGACAGAGCCACAGGCTACAAGGGCCATAGCTAGAAAAGGGTGGTGGTAGAGGCAGGCTGTGGCTGACAAGAATCATAAGCCACTTCCCTACTCTCTTATCTTCACACGGTGGCTTGTGGACTTCCTAAAGTGTAGTACATGGGGCTGAAAACTTCTATTTGGATATTGATGAGAGGGGAAGGATCAAGGATTTGGTTATATATAAGGGCACACAGAGCTCAGACCACATTACACATTTACCTCTCGAATCTTTATTTTAGATAAATTTGGGCTCATAACAAAAAGCCTATAACTTAATACACACCAGCATTTGCCATTTATTTCGATGGACTCACAAATTTAACTACACATGGGAAAATCCAAGCAAGGGAGTGTAATGAAATCCCAATGAGAGTTGGTCTTTGACTCACAAAAAATCCAGTTGATTTAAYGTAAAAGATATGAAGTCCAAGTGGATTATAGGATACATGAGCCCCAAAAATGGCAGGACGGGCTTGCCACATTTTCCATATTCAGCTTCCTATCCTTTTATCTCCATCCTGCAAMAATTGCCCATCAGACCTCAAGAAAATAAGATGCATCACCATCTCATGCTCAGTAGTATTTTCAATATAAATAGCTTAGTTCTGCCTGCTGTGTATCTGGGGAGTTGATGGAAACACRATAATGCCAAGGCCATTTAGGGTAGAACTAAGGAAAGATTAAGGAGGGTGAAAAGCAGAGCTCTCTGAGAAGGGCAAAACCYCAAAGCATCAATTCCAAGTGAGCCAGAAAAACTTCTACTTGAGCCAGCTCAAAATCTGTGTTAATTTTCCATTGCTCTGACAAAATACTTGAGATGATAATTAACTTAAAAGGAGGAAAGGTTTATTTTAGCCTACAGTTTCAGTTCATGGTCTCTTGGCTCCAATGCTTTTCAGTCTGTGGCAAGACAGAATATCACAGCAGAAAAGCACTGTTCACCTCGTGGTGGCCAGAATGTGACACAGAGAGAGGGGTAGGGACCAGGGTCTCCATATCCCCTTCAAGGGCATGCTCCCAATGACCCAACTTCCTTCCATAAGATCCTGCCTTCTAAAGGTTCCACCACCTCCCAATAGTTCCACAGGCTGGTGACCAAGACTTTAGTATACAGGTGTTTCAGGGACATTTAAGATCCAAACCCTAACAAAACCACAGGCCCCTGAGTCCCCTTTCCTTTTCACACAGTAGTACAGATTACAATGATGCACTAGACTCATYCCCTATGACCTGCAGTTACTTCCTGTGAGAGGAATCCACTTCTCCATCCCTGACACTGGGTTTAAGATTGAATTTGTTTTGGCTGTGGATGTATATGCTACTGTATTTCACCAGCTGCATTTTTCCTTCCCGCTATGAGAATGGTGAGTTCCAGGCAGGAGCTGCCTTTCAGCCTGTGTTCTTGAATGAGAAGACACAGGGAGCAGGACCTCAGTCAACCATGTACAACCAGTGAAAGGCAATGTGGATTTAAAGAAAACATGACGGTCCTCACCCGAGAACCTAGGTGTTCCTGCAGCATAATCTTGTGAGTGTGTGAGTGTGTGTGTGTGTCTCGGAGGTGCTGGGGATTGAACCTAGGGCCTTGTGAATGCAAGGCAAGCACTCTACCAACTGAGATATATCCCCAGCCCACCTGCAGCATAATCTAACAAAAGCTAACTAAGGTGCTGGGGGTCACAGACTTAGTGCTCACAGCAAGTGAAGCAGAGTATGTGGTAAGACCATGGGATGACCAGGT